CAAGAAAACCATATGGAGGGCAGTTCTGCTCTGAAGCCCATGGGAGTGCTATGAGTTGTAACGTACTCACTGGCCACAGGCTATCCAAATTAATTTTAAATTTAGAGTGAAGTTGGTTTCAATGAAACTAGGTTTTTTTGGCCCCCTCCATAAAAATACATCAATGCTGAGTTCTTTGAAGAAGCAAAACCAGTGATGCTTACATAAGTTTTTATAAAGAGAAATTTATATAAAGAAAATGGTTCACACAGCTGTAGAAGGAACAAACATGTCCAAAGTCCAGGCAGGGTTCCAAGTTTCTGTGTCTGATGGTAAGCTGGAGGTTTCACTTAACTCATATAGCTCTGGGTGCTGATGAACCCAGAATTGCAGATAGACCACAGGCTTGTGGCAGATGAGGTCAATGCATCTTTGGGCTTGTGACTGGAGAGATGAGTGAATCCAAGACCAGCAGGTCAGATGGCTCCTTGGATTGGCAGACAGTATGGCATGCTGTTGGCTCAAGTCCAAAGAACGAGAGGTTGATGAGCTAGTTACAGGATCCAGACCCAGAAACAAGCAAGCAAACTTTTCTACAGCACTCACTTACCTATAGAGGAAGTACTCACCCACTCCCAAATTTTCTTTCTTTCACCATAAGGGCTGTGACCTGAGTAAGGAGGTTGTACTTCACTCTGATCATCTTTAAAGTGCTTGATTGCTTGATTGCACTCTGTTATGGAGTCAATTACACTGTGTTCATTCACATGGAGATTTAATAGGGCTTAAATGCTAAACCACTGACATTCATGATATTGGCAAGTTGACAGAAAACCGTTCACAATTGCTTTTATATTACATAACATTTAGAAACAAATCCTCTGGATGATGACTATATAAGAAACAAAAAGGAACTTTTAGCTGAAGGTAACATGTTTCTCCTAAGAGTGTTAGGACTTACTATTTTGTAAAGTAGTTGTTAGGTACTGTCGAGTTGTTTCCAACTCAACAACCCTGTGTACAACAGAAGGGAACATTGCCTGGTCCTGCATTCTTGAACCCATTGTTGCAGTCATGTCAATCCATCTTCTGGAGTCTTTTCCTGTTTGTTTTGTTGTCCCTTTGCTTTTACCAAGCTTATGTTTTTCAGGGCCTGATGTCCAAAGTAGGTGAGACCAAGTCTTGCTACCTTTGCAACTAAGGTGCATTCTGGCTGGACTTTTTCTAAGACAGGCCTGTTTATCCTTTTGGCAGTCCATGGTACTTTCAATATTCTTCAGCACCATAATCAAATGCATCAATTCTTCCTTGGTCTTTTTATTCGGTGTCCACTTTCACATGCGTATGAAGTGATTGAAAATACCATGGCTTTCGTCATTCAGATTTTAGGCCTCAAGGTAACATCCTTGCTTTTCAGCACTTTAAGGAAATCTTACACAGCAGATTTGCCCAATGCAATGTATCACTTGATGTTTTTACTGGTGCTACCATGAACATTGATTGTGGATCTAAGCAAGATGAAATCCGTGACTACTTCAATCTTTTCTCTGTTTAGCATGATGTTACCTATTGGTCCAGTTATGAGGATTTTGGTTTTCTTTACATTGAGTTGTAATCTATATAAAAGGCCGCAATCTTTGATCTTCATCAGCAAGTGCTTCAAGACCTCTTCACTTTCAGTAAACAAGGTTCTGTCATCTGCATATCTCAGGTGATTAATAAGCCTTCCTCCAATCCTGATATCACATTCTTTTGCATATACTCCAACTTCTTTGATTATTTGTCCATTACACAGAATGAATAATTATGTTGAGAGGCTACAACCCTGACACAAATCTTTCCTTCTTTTAAACCATATTATTCCCTTGTTCTGTTTGCATAACTGTCTCTTGATCCAAGTACAGTCAGCAAGAGTTCATTAAAAAGATAGGAGAAAAAAAAAGATCAAAGTGCATGTTAGAAGAGACTCTGAAACTGCTAAGACAAATGGAAGATAGGATAAAGTAATGGAACTGAATGGAAAATTCCAAGGGCAGCTTGAGAAGACAGAGTAAAATAATATAATTAAATGTGCAAAGACTTAAAGTTAGAAAACCAAAAAGGAATAACATGCTTAGCATGTCTTAGACTGAAAGAACTAAAGAGAAAAAAAATCTAAGTCTTGAGTTGCAATATTGAATGAGTCTATGGGCAAAATATTGACTGATGTAGGAAGCATCAAATGGAAGTGGGAAGAATACACAGAATCACTGTACCAAAAGAACTAGTGTGAAGGAATAAGTTCAAGGTACACTGAGAGCATTAGCCAAAATGAGATGTTTCAACAAACTGATGAACACTGGAAACACTCAGTCATTTTGTGCCAGGAAATTTGGAAGACAGCTATTTGACCAACCGACTGAAAGAGATCCATTGTTTGTGCCCATTTCAAAGAAAGGTGACCTAACAGCATGCCAAAATTATTGAACAGTGTCATTCATATCACATGAAAGTAAAATTTTGCTGAAGGTCTTCCAACAGTACATTGACAGGGTGCTACCAGTGGATCAGGCCAGATTCAGAAGAGGATATGGAGCAAGGGACATCATTGCTAATTTCAAATGGAGCTTGGCTGAATGTAGAGAATTCCAGAAAGACATTTATTTGTGTTTTATTCACTGAGCAAAGTTATTTGACAGTGTCCATTGTAACCAACTATGGATAACCTTGAGAAGAATGGGAATTCTAGAACACCTCTTTATAAAGTTATGGAGTGGTTATTATGCAAAATTCATAATTTAAATCAAGGCAATGATAATTCAAGTGCAGATGTAGTTTCCTGTATTGGAATCCAAGAAGTTGATGGGCTTGTGGAGAGGCATAGGGGAGTAGAAAAATACTGGTGAAGCTCTTATTCATCTCATTAATTTACTATTCTTTAAAGTTTACATCACATTTTAAAACCATTTAATTGGACTTAATCCACATATCATACTATTCAGTAGTTGAATCATATCAAGAAGAGTTGTACAGTCATTATTACCACAATCAATTTAAGAACATTTTCTTTCTTGCACTCCTTGTTCTTTGTTAGCTCTCCATTTCCTCACAACCTCTCCTGCCTACCTCAAAGAAACCATGAAATTCAGTTATTGTCTCTACAGATTCATCCATCCTGGATTTCATATACCAAAAAAACCCAAAAAGCAAATACAAAAGCTAACAATAGTAACAAAATAGGAAGAAAACTTCAGTATAGCACTGATGAAACATACAACTTTCTTTTAGTTCTTTGATGCTTCCAACCTCCCCCCTCCCCACTATCATGACCCCAATTCTACCTTACAGATCTGGCTAGACCAGAGCATGTACACTGGTACAGATAAGAGCTGGAAACACAGGGAATCCAGGACAGATAACCCCTTCAGGGCCAATAATGAGAGTAGTGATACCAGGAGGGTAAGGGGAAGGGGCGGGGGCAGAGAGGGGGAGTTGATCACAATGATCTACATATAACCCCCTCCCAGGGGGCTGGACAACAATAAAGTGGGTGAAGGGAGACAGTGGTCAGTGTAAGACATGAAAAAAAATTATAAAAGGTGAGTGGGTGGGGGTTTGGAGGAAAAATACGCTGATATCAAGGACATAGTAGAATGAAAATGGTGATGGCAATAAACGTACAAATGTGCTTGACATGGTGTATGTATGGATTGTACTAAGAGTTTTAAGAGCCCCAATGAAATGATTTAAGAAAACAAAACTTCAATCGAAAAGAAAGCGGAACACCCTATTGGGTAGTCTATTTTCAAATTCAAAATAGTTAATGCCCTCACTTATCAATAGAATATAAATTATTTTTGAAGTGATTCATTAAATCTTATAAACATTAAAGCTTTTTTTCTATAAAAGCATCAAAATATCTTTCTTAGTAAGAATATTTTAAATACAGGATAAAAAATAGATGGTCATTATATATCTTTTTGAAATAATAGTCTGCTTTTAAATTCATGTATTAAAACTTAGATGTATTTCAAATAACTATATAAAGTGCGTGTTTTAAAAATTATTTTATTGAGGGCTCGTACATTTCAAAGTGCATGTGTTTGTAAATGTCAAGATGGTAAAAAGTAAGTTGAATTACATGTGTGTAACTTTCCACTTTTTGCTGTGGAAAATTCAGCTTTAGTTCTCATTTGATTGTCATTTTTTTTGTACAAGAATTTAAGACCATAAGCAATGACACTTTTTTTTTCCATATGGGTTTAGAAGTCTGACTCACTGGATATGAGGCCTAGAAATTGTCTCTGGGTTTCTGTTGTAGACATGTTGATAGAGCTTAGATGACCTATTTATATAGGGCAACTGCGGGGTTCTGGAGGAGCAAAGAGCAACTCATCCTCATGCAGCATTGCCATTGATGCTGTTTAAGAACTTTCTGATTGTTAACTTTTAGCTGACCAAAGGGAAGACCTATTTTGAATCATTTTGGATAGTCAAAGATTTTAAATTTTGACCATTGTTCTAATATGAATCTCCTTTAATAAAATGAAAGGGCTTCAAAAAGATCAAGGAAAAATTCCATTATCTTTTCAGTCAATTTACCCACAAACTTTTTTGAAGCCACTTTTACAAGGATTTATATGTGTACAGAATTATATATTTTCTGATGGTATATTAGCATAAACTCTCATGGTTAGACGCCATTGAGTCGGTTCCAACCCATAGTGACCCAGTGCACAGCAGAACAAAACACTGCCAGGTCCTGCGCCATCCTCACAGTGATCCTATTGTTGGCAGCCGTTGTGTCAGTCCTTCTCCTTAAGGCCCTTCGTTTTTGCTGCCTCTAAGTTCCCCATTGTAAAATTCCTTCACTTAGTAAACGTGTATTTCTCAAAAAAAGTTTCTAATACTAAATTATGTGTATAAGTGGCATTTGACAATTACTTTTCATGACTATTACATAGGATGATAGGGAAAATATATTCATTAAAAACAACACTGTATACTCCTTAAAAAATTATTTTCTCCAAACATTTTGTTAGGTGACTGAAATCCAGGACTGGAGTGCATCAAGCCCACACAGTGCAGCATATGTTCTCTGGGATAATGGTGCTAAGAACCTTTACAGAGTTGGCTTCGAGGGCATGGTAAGTAGTGAAGAAGCACAACCGATGAAAGTTTTGGATGAGTGGAAGAATGGTAGTCAGAATAGTGTGTGTGTGTGTGTGTGTGTTTATTTCTCCGTCTGACAGTTGAATATGTTAGAAAGTCTTCTTGTGGATATGACAAAATAATAATTTATAAATTATCAGGGGTTCATGAGGGAGGGGAAAAAATGAGGACCTGATGCCAGGGGCTTAAGTGGAGAGCAAATGTTGTGAGACTGATGAGGGCAATGAATGTACAAATGTGGTTTACACAATTGATGTATGTATGGATTGTGATAAGTGTTGTATAAGCCCCTAATGAAATGATTAAAAAAAGGTCGTCTTGTGAATACAGCCATATGAATCATGAATTTGCAAAAGGAAGGAAATCTATAAAGTGAGGTTTTACTGACCTTTTAATACCTCAACATTTTTACCATGGTTGCTCTATTTAATAGTTAATGTGATTTTCTCCTCTCAGAGAACCAGTAATATACACATTGATTGTATACATATGATCTCTTACGATGTTGAAGGGTTTTTTTACAGAAATCTATCAGAAAGATTTTGTGACCTTTGTAAAGGTACTAAGTACCACATTGAAACAATTTGACCCCGTGTCTCATTGTCCAGGATTGAGCTCAGTGTGGTGCTGTAGCAGAAATGAAGTTGTGAAAGAGACGTGTGTGTAAAAAGGAATTCTTTTCCTTCGTAGCAAATCTCAAACTCACTGCTTTTGAGTTGATGCCAACTCATAGCAACCCTGTAGGACCAGGTAGAACTGCCCCATGTGAGTTTCTCAGACTAACTCCTTCACAGGAATTAAAAAAACAATAGCAACATCTTTTAAGGAGCCAGCTCGTTGTTCAAACTACTGACCTTGCAATTAGCAGCCCTCTTCCTTAGTAGAGTTAACTATATATTTGATCTCCTTTTTTTAATAAGAGTATGGTATGTACTGACACCTACTGGCACTTCCTATATATGCTGTCCACTAGCATCTTGTTCATGGCCAGCTGGAAGTACAGAGTAGAACTTGGCTCAGGGTTTTCGGAAGCCGACTGCCACTTCTTTCTCCCATGGAGCAAGGGTGGATTCAGTCAGCTGGTCTTTTGGTACAAGGCCTCCTTTTTTTTATATGCTAGGTGCCATTCAGAAAATGTACTTGCATATTTTCCCCCAAATCACCAAGGTTGTTTTTCTACGTTTTCATTTTCTTTACTTTTTATCGTACTGCAGCGGCCTCCCCATTCAGTCATTTAAATAGTAGCTTGTTTTCTATTACCTGATGGTGATTAAACAAGGTGATTTAACCAAGTGGTAGTGAAGTCAGACTAAAAGGCTAGAAAGATTAACTGGACAAAGAATGAAAAGATTGGACTTGGTTCCATCCACTTCTGCTTTCTGTTTAATTTTGGGTCATTTATTTTACTGGCCTTCATTTTCCTTATTTATAGGGTAGGTTCACACCTACCTTTATAGCTCATTAAATTGGAAAATAGATTAGTTAAATTTTCTTTTGGTAAACTTTAAAATGGAATGTATTCTACATGTCTTGAATTCTAAGTATTTATTGCAATTTTCTTTAACATTTAATTTTGAGCCATTTTAATGATAAATATTCTAATTGTTTATTACCAAACAGTTTTATCAAGATTCTATAAAGTCTGATCAGTAGGAGGTCAGGTCAGTAGCAGAACAGTTTCCGTTTCTCATGGATTTCAGACTTTCTATAGCCTTGGCGGTTGGATGAACCCTAGAAAGTATTGCCCTAAGATAATTTTTAAATCTTAAACCAGAATTATCCTTGAAAGTTTTTGTAAAGTCGTAAAGAATGTCTGTTTTAGGCATTATTCTTTTGTGTGTTTTGAGCATCATGCTCTTGTGAGAACTATCCATACTCACTGCCATGGTCCTGATTCATAATGAACCATGTAAGACAGGGTAGAACTGCTTTTGTGGGTTTCCTGAGACTATAACTGTTTATAGGAGTAGGACGCCTCATCCTTCTTCTGAGGAACAGTTCGTGTATTTGAACTGCTGACCCCGGGGTTAGCAACTCTATGCATAAACCACTATGCCACCAAGGCTCCTTAAAACAAACTCTATGGTGGCCAAACTAACCACAGGAGCTCTAAAGGATAGGGGCCTAATAAGCTTATGATAATGGGAGGAATCATTCTATAAAGAGAGTGAGAATGACTTCATAACTCCAAAAATGTAATTGTTGCTACTGAATTGTATCTGTAGAACTTATTGACTGGTGTATATTCTGCTATATATATTCGCAACATTCAGGTATTTTAATTTTGAGCTTTAAATGAAAACAAAAATAAATATATGACCTATTAAAAGATCAAGTTTATAATTTTATAGCACATCCTTTTGGAAACATTGTTCATTGTGGCTTTTAACCCATTACTACCCTTGACTTGTTGAGGGTGTATTTTGAATGAGTAGTTTTGCTTATTTTAGTTATTGACCCTTCCTTGAAGTTTTCATAGATAATTTTTATGCTTTCTTTTCTTCTTAGTCAGATCTAAAGTGTGTCCAGGATGCCAAAGGTGGTTCTTTCTACCGAGATCACTGCCCTGTTCTAGGTGAGTTAGCAGATAAGAGAAAATGCCTCAATAAATCATGGATCAGAGCTAAAAGGATTAGTGAAAAGGTTTAGAATGAAGTTCAAAGATATTAGTTACCAATGACATTACTTAAAATACTTTTTATTTTATGTCTTTTAAGATTTTTGTTTTTGTGATTTATGTTGTAATGTCTTGAATTGATAAGTCATTTATTTATATGTCATAATACTTCTTTAAAACTTTCAACCAAAATTTATTGTAAAGTTTGGGTTAGATTGCAGTAATAGTATATTTCATATATTGGGTTAGATAGTTTAGGCCTTTATAAATTCCTTACACTTTATATAAAAATGTCTTCTAAGGAATAGAACAAGTCTAAGACCAAGGTAATATAGTAAATATACCTTCATGTTTGTCCCCCCAAAGAGAAAACAAGAAAACCAGAACTTTTTGTATATTTTTTAGAATTTTGGCCAACACAGACATTTACCACACACATCTCATGCAAGTTTTAGTCTCTTACTACTTGACTTTCTCATTTGATCTCTGTGAGGGATTTCAAAAACTTTGTGCAAAAATTCCATTGTCTTTTAATTCCACTTGTCAATGAACTCTTTGAAGCCCACGCACATATACCTGATTCAAAGTCATAGTGTCTTGTCTTTTTGCCAAAAGAGGTATAGTTCTCTTGAAATGTACTTTGGCTTTATTATTTTAAAGGAGGATGTGGGGAAAAGTACTTAATATTTATAAGATCCTCATTTCTTTTGTTTTCAGAACTTTCTTGTTTTGTGTCTTGCCTTCACAAGAAAAGTGCAAAATCAATACGCACATTTTGGATCACTCAGTACGAGTTCTGATTATGAACCCTTTATCCCCAAATTAAGGTTTTGAAAAGAATCTAGGGAATGGACCGACCTTGAAATATTAAAAAAATTTCTGTAGGCAGAAATAAAAAAATCATTTATTTCCAAATAGTACTAAACACTTCAGAGAAAAAGTAATTTCATGGTTTTCTTTCATGTCCTCTTGTTATAACTCTAATGCAATGAGCCATCCAACAAAAATGTTAATTCCTTTAATACCCAGAACTTTGTTTTCTCATACGGGGTTGCATTAAAATTTTTTTTAGATTCTATTCCTGTTCTTGTCTTTGTTATAAATCATCATATCATTTGGATTCTTTTAGTAAGTTTTTTTTTCTTTCTTTCCTTTTTTTTAAAGTTCCCTTGTTATAGCATCTCTTCCTTACAGAATAGTTTCAAAACAATGTGACATTAGATGGTAGATTAAATGAAAATATCTAGAGTTTTTCTTATTGAAAAAATACAAAATTTTATTGTTGCTATGGCCTTTCTTTCCCTCCCCCTACCCCCCCTCTTTTTTCCCTCAACTCCCTCTGCAATTACAGGTGAACAAAATGGTAACAGAAATCCTGGTGGATTACAGATTGGTGACCTGGTAAATATAGATCTTGAACTAGAAATTGTGCAGTCTTTGCAACATGGTCACGGAGGATGGACTGATGGCATGTTTGAGACTTTAACTACAACTGGCACTGTGTGTGGCATTGATGAAGATCATGACATTGTAGTGCAGTATCCAAGTGGCAATAGGTTGGTGATATTTCTTGATTTGAGATAATGGCGGATACAATTAATATATGTAGGCTCAAAGAAAGTAAATAATGTTTAACCAGAAGATTCATTAAATGTAGCTCTTAGGTAAAAAAAGTATGATGGCAAGATTAAGTAAACTGCAAGGTCTTTGTATATGTGTGAATTTATATGATACTAGTTACAATACATTGTTTTGAAAAACATTTTTCTGTAGGGACTAGAATCTGTTATATCACTATTAGCTCCTTGAATAGCTGAGGGGTCTGTGTTCATAGTGGACCGTATCAACTGACTGAATGTGAAAGAGAATTCAAACTCCTGTCTGAGTTGACTCTTGATTACACTGTTCTCCCTTGCCATAATCAACACACACACTCAATCCTAATCAGAATACAGAAATGTGTGCATTTCCTCACATCTGTCTTCCTCCATGAAGAATGCTCTTGCCTCTTACTTCTCCTCTGGGTTGACTCCTGTATTATTGGAATACTAAGCTCATATGCTCTGGGAACTTCTCTTCTCCAACTTTGCTTGGTGTAGGCATACACAATTTGTTTGTAAGTCTTCTATATACTATATTACTAAAATGATTAATTAGTTGATCCTCTAGATCATAGATTCCCAAAATTAGACTTAACCATTCTCTTTTCAGAAAAAACTTAATTGACCCCCCTCCCTCACCTGCCGGCATTTAAAGCTTTTCTTCTATAGCCCATAAGACAGCATAAAGTGTAAGTATTGTTTTTGCAGATGCCTGTGGATTGTTCCAGAACCCCCTAGGGGTTGGCACCCCTCTGCCGCGCCTCCCCCCCCCACTTTGGGAAACACTGATGTAGCTTGTGAATTTCTTGAAGTCTGGTCCACCATATACCATTAAAATTTTTTTTAAACAATATTTTAAAGAAAAAGCAATTGTTGAATATTTTTCTGTTTTTAAATTGGCATGTTCATAAAGAAGATAACTTTTAAAAGGTTTAAAGGTGTTTTGCAGAACCTTTTAGTGAAAAAGAAAATTAGCATAGAATTGACTACATTTGATTCTAATTGAGTATAAACTAAGGACATACGTAATCATCTCAGAAGTTACATATAAGCATTTGCTCACATTCAAACCCTTAAAATATAGTTAAATAGTTATAGAAAGTAACTTTAGGGAATTCTTTAGCCTGACCAAGTGTATCTTAGAAAAACCTAGTGTTCTATACTTATAATGAGACATTAATGTAGTTAAAATGGTGAAGGCTTTTACCATTATCTGAATGCTTTACCTCCAAAGATCAGGAACAAGATAGGGCTATTGACTCTCATCATAGTTATTCAACATTACTAGAGCTCCTAGCCAGGACAGTTGGGCAAGAATTTAAAATGGAACAAGTGAAAGAAAGGAAGAAGTAAAATAGTTTGTTTCTAGTTCCAGATGGATTGATTTTAGAGATTAGAAGAGCTGAAGGAATCCACACATAGCTTTCAGAACTAATAAATGATTTTAGCCAGGTTAGAAGATATAACAACAATGTATAAAAATCAATTATATTTTTACACACTAGCATTGAACATTCTGAAAGTGAAATTAAGAAAACAATTTCATTTACAATAGCATTAAAAATAATACTTCACGACAAATATTTAAGTTATAGAAAATATAAAGCATTGTTGAAAGGAATGAAGAGATATCTAAATAAATTGAAGCCATTTCATTTTCTTGGATGAGAAGATTTAATTTCCTTAAAATGGCAAGAATTGGAGTACTCATACTTCCTTGTTTCAAAACTTAGTGCAAAGATCTAATACAAGGATGTTCTGTGTACTGGTGTATCTAATAGTGAAAACTCTGGCATACTTTATATGATAACCAGTGTAATGCTTGGTTAAACAGATTAGTGTGTATTCATTCTATGAATATTCTATAGCTGTAAAAGTGAATTACCTAGATTCATATGTGTGACATTGAAATATAAGTCTTACAAGGTGAATTTTCTGAGAAAAGAGTCAGAATAATGCCAGTATATATAGTATCCCTTTTATGGAAAACATTTCTCTTTGTGCTTTATATAAATATCATTTAGCCAGTTGGTATTACTGAGACCAATACCATACTTCACAAAGACAACATTCTATATTCTACTTTGGCGAGCAGCAACTAAGGGTCTTAAAAGCCATCTAACGTGTAACTATTGGCTTCTCCTTGTCTGGAAGAAAGAAGAGAGAGAGAGAGAGAGAAAAAAAAATCAAACACTCATGGTAAGAATTAGTTCAGAGTTCAGAGATCCTGAGACCAGAACTAGATGGTGTCCAGCTACCACCACTAAGTGCTCTGAAAAGGATCACATTAGAAGATCCTGGATATACGTGGAGAAAGATGTGGAAAAACACCAGGCTTTCTGGTTGATTAGAGACTGCTAGACACTTGAGACTAAGGTCCTTAGTCACCTATCATATCTGGAAGTGAATTCACCCCCGTGGCTCACTTCTCATTCAAATGTATAGACAAGTTTCCAAGGGGATCAATAACACTAGGAAGATACACACACCTTAAAATAATTAAACCATTTGAGATAAAAGGGAAGCATTTACCCCAGTACAAATTCAGAAGGGTTAAGAAGCAAAAATGGAAGAAAAAAAAAAAAGAAGCAACAATGGGAAAAGGAAGGAGTATAGGAAGTGGGATAAACAATGTTGTGGGGATTGCTATTAATAGCATAAAACGGAATTATTGAATAAACTGATGATCTGTTCTGTAAAACTACAACCAATTCATGATTAAAGTTAAATATGCCACGTAGCATAATGATTAAAGACTTATAAACGTATACAAACAATTATTAATAGTGGTTTCCATTGAGTCAGGGACTGGGGATCTAGATGTGGTTGTGTGAAAGAGAACTTTCTAAAATGTTTTAATTTTTAACAGTGAGCATTAAAACTCTTAACTCTTGCGACATCTTTAAGGATCATGCCAGCCTGGGAGGTTAAATCTAGACAGAAATTTACTCAAATATTAGTATTTGTGGTAGGATGGCTGTTTGCCCAAATTGGTATATTCAATTTTTAAAACAAAAACCAAAATACCAAATTCTTCAAAATAACAGATTGCTTTACCTTTTTGATAAAAAGTGTTACAAAATTTTTGTTGTTGGATTTGGCAAATATTTAAGAATGTTTTATTAAAATTAAGTTTACCCGATTTGAGTTTTGGTTTTGATTTTTCAGGTGGACCTTCAATCCTGCTGTTCTCACTAAAGCAAACGTTGTCCGAAGTGGGGATGCTGCTCAAGGTGCAGAAGGCGGCACGTCTCAGTTTCAAGTTGGTGATCTTGTGCAAGTTTGTTATGATCTGGAAAGAATTAAACTTCTACAGAGAGGACATGGAGAATGGGCTGAAGCTATGCTTCCAGTAAGTATCTGTAAAACAGTGTTTGACTAGGAATTAATAGTGTTTATTGTGGACTCAGGAATAGGAACAGTTGCAAAGATGGCACAGAACTGTGCAGGGTTTTGTTCTGTGAACATATGGTTGCTATGGGTCAGAGCCGACTAGATGGCACCTAACAACAACATAGAGTTGTTAAAAAGTAATTAATTTTTGAAAAGCTATGGTAGCATGTACTTTTTGAAGGAATCTCAACATACTTGTACCTTTTGTTTTTCAATATATACGAATTACCCTGGAAAGTTCTGGAAAGGATTGTAGTTAGTTTCTAAGAACGCATAATTATTGCTAAAGGTGTTGGAGAATGTAATATATGTGTAAGGGATCTGAGGCTTTCCTGAGCCTTAAAGACCCCAGCGTTAGTATATGGGTGCTCATCCAGGCACTAGTAGGGCTGGACCTTTTCAGGTCTCCTCTTTTGGGAATCGGCTTCTCTAAAATTTATAGTGTAGAGAGGTGGCTCTAAATATGTGCTTCCTGAAGGTGGTGGTGGTCTCAAAGAGCTTCACTTTAACAGTTTTATTTATTTCACCTAGTTTATTTTTCATAAAACCTTCAATAGCTAACATGTATGTTTGTTCTGCTCTCTATCTGTCCCTCTTTTTTAGCATCTCTTCTGTACTGTTTGTTCCATCACGTGAACTCCAATCTACACCATCATGGATCTCACCTCCCTCCCTCTACCTCACTGTTTTTTTTAACTCTTTCATTCCCTATTTTGCCCACTCTCCCCTCCTATCTCATCAGTTCCCACCTCTTTCCTGTCCAGCTTCCACTCCTGTCCCATACTTTGCCCCTCTCCTGTCCCAGGTAGCATTAGTTCTAACCCAGTTGGTGCCCCTCTCTCTTCTTTCTGTGTTGTTCGATCTACCTGCCTTGTCAGCACCTCTTTCTCTCCCTGTCAAGCCCAACTATTGACTAACCCTAAACTACTCTGTCCAGTCCCCTCTCTGTCCTTCGTGTTGTCCTCGCCTTCCATCGGTCCTTCCTTTCTTGCTCCCTCAGTGGATATTTGACACAAACAATGTACTTGTTAGGGTTCATGGAAACAATTGTGAACAAAGTAGAAGGAAAAAAATATCTCTTCTTTTGGATCTTTCATTCAAAAGCATGTTATATATATATTTTTTCTTTTTCTTTTTTAACATTTTATTAGGGGCTCGCACAACTGTTAGCCCAATCCATACACACATCAATAGTGTAAAGCGCATTTGTACATCGTTTCTCAAAACATTTTCTCTCCATTTAAACCCCCGACATTAGGTCCTCATTTTTCCCCTCCCTCC